TCATTTTATGTAGTTTCCCTTTTTAAAACTCGGTGCTGTGTGATGGACTTCTTGGCTTTTTCTCTTCTCCAAAGATATGTAATGTACGCATGCTTTGGCCACTGTTACAGGCAGCTTGTCTGTTGTTAATGGACTCAGCAATCAAAATTGCCCCTCTCTGCTGGGTCTTCTAAACAGTTGCTCCAAAAGGCAGATTTCCTTGATGTCCAAAAAAGTACTCTCAGCTCAGTGAAACTTTCACAAAGTAAATGTGGGGAACCTCAATATCCCATTATTAACACATTTCTGCTCTGTGCCTGTCTGGGACAGATGAATGAACCAGCTCTTGTGGTTAGTACATGGATTCAGCAAATTAGATAATTTGAGTTTAAGTCGTACCTCCACCAGTCACTCTCTTGCAGTAGTACTTGCTTAATCCTGTTAAAGTCTTTGAAAAATCTAGACTAGTGGGGACACTGGCAAAACTGTGCGGCTTTTGATTAGATGTATAACAGCAGTGGATGAAGCAATATTTTATCCATTAAATTCTCCAAATACAGCCTGGTCATGTAAGTGACTGACTGCATTTTGTATTTATTTACAATAGATTAGTCAGAGCGGGTTGGAAGCCTTTTTCTGTTGGTGAAATGTGGTATTAAAATTTTGCATTTTAATGAAAAATAATACTTTCAATCAGCTTTTTTTCATGTTGAGTAATAGAAAGAAATGACTCTGTATTCATGTATTACAGTATCTAAGTTTTCCTACACATCTTACATTCATGTGTGTTGTGAACTGGCTAGATGAGGTTCAGTAATAAAACGTATAAAAGCTTTCAGCAAGGCCTGGTTGCTCAGCTTAACGTATATCGATTCAGTAACATCAATTCCACGCTGCTATGCTAATTTACACCAGCTGAGGTTCTGGGCACCACTCCTTTTATTGTGTCTTGACTTTTCTAGCACGTAGGTTAAGCAACATTTGATAACCATATGCTTAGTGTATTGTGCCAGTAGAATAGTACTTAGAAGATGGAGTGTGGGAAGAGTGGGAACAATTGCAAACGTGTAGTGTTAGATTTTATTGACTTCAGAATATGGCATAAATACAATGAAAGCTTCTCTATAAAGCAGGGCCCCCATGTGGAGTCAAGACATAGAGTGAGATCCTGTATAATAGTAGTAAAGAAGTCTTAAAATTATGTGGATTTAATTTATTGTATTTTCTTCTAAGGTTATATCTTTAAAATTTAGCAGTCCCAAAGTTAACACTTAAAAATGCAAAGCCAGTATGTAAATGCATGTTGAATGTGTCAGACATCTGAAGGATATTTGAGTCTTTATGTTTTGCTTTGGCATCCACGAACAAGCAGAAAGCTTTTCACCATTTATGCAAGAGGGGAAGACAAAAGAACTCACTCCTTTTGTGCTAGTGCAATTGAAGAGAGCTGTAAAATAGTTACTGCTGATTATGTGATTATGCAAGGACCTAGGTGAGTGAGCATTCAGAGAATTTCAGCTTCCTTTGGATATTTTTGTGATTAGTCTGCATCCTCTTAGGAAATCTGGTAGGGAATGAGTGTGAATGATGGGCAGCAAGCAACTAGAGAAATAAAAGTGGATGGAGAGCTGAGAGCATTCCAGTGCCAAACTAAACTGTATAAACAATGTTTGGCATCTGATTGTATCGATCTATTCTTGTGTAGTTCTTTCAAAACTGCTCTTGCATGTAAAAAGGTGTTCCTTTTTAAGTCTAAAAAAACTTGCCTGTGTTTAGAATGGAATGATATCTTCTGAGTTAAAGGGGGAAGAATTTATAGTAAATTCAAAAATATTTCTGTCTGCAAACTTCTTTTTGGAAGTTTCAAAGTCGTAGAGCCTGCTTCCAGAGCTCTGGGCTTTAGCAAACTCCATTGTGGTGTGAAGTTTGAGTGAGGAAATATAGTAACATACCACAGAGTGTCCCTTGGGTTGTGGAAAATCACTTCTGTGCTACTTCTGGTTTAGTTATTTATTATTTGTAAGCCAATCAGTGTTATTCTTCTGTATTTGGATTAGCAACAAGTCATCTAGCAAAGCTTTTTTTCTCTATAGGTGTGGACAAAATAGCTGTTACATACGTGATTATAAGCAGTTGTGCTTTCATGCCATTATCAAAACTTCCCATTTCCAAAGCCACTGCTTAATGATCACTTTAATTTCAGCATTCATCTAGGTCCTGTTCATGCAGATTCTCTGAACTGCTCCTTAGGTGTGGAAAATGATGACAGCACATTGCTGATTTTGTTACATTCTGATTACACACCTAGAAATAGGAAAAAAGAAATTTTAATCAACATTGGGCATCCAAATAAACAATATATCTGCAAAAATTTGTTTCACTAAATCAGTTGGTGTTCTTTTACTGCTGAAACAGAAATTCTATCTTGGCATCTGCAGTCGCTAAAATATAGCTTAAAATCATTGTGCTTTTCTTGGCTAAAGGCTACCATAGTGAACGATGTTGTATCTGCCCACAGACACACAGGACTTGGTGCTAGTCTGCTTACTGCCGTCATTTCCGTATGTATGTGTTTCTAGATATTTAATGCTTTTAAACCCAAATATTCTCCTTACAGTGTTGTGACCTTTTCCCAATCATTTCTTCATACAGTGTAGCCTTAATTCAAACGGCTATGTAAATAAAATTGCAGACAGACTTGAGTGAGCTCAAGGGGCTGATGGCAATAGTCTTCCAGTAGAGGGGGTGTGGTGGACATCCTCTGCGTTGTGGGCCTGACGCATCTCAAATTACTCAGCCATATTTGTCAGCTTAGCACCAGCAGGCTGCTCCATCAGCTAGCTGCACTAACACCTTGCTTTGTTACGCTTCTGTGCAGCTTTTCCTTCCTCCCCGTATTTAGCAGTCATGGAGGCTGCTGCTGAAACAGGCAAGAGACCTTTCTTACCCTGCTTCTCCAGTACTGTGATCGGTGCCATTAATTCAATCTTTTAGTGGGGGTAAATTGAATTTGGTGTCAATTCAGCAGCTGGAGATATTGCAATATATCACATATAGAGGTTAGGATTTAGGTTCTGATCACATATAACCATGCCAACATATCAGATACTAATATGGCACCGAGATAGCAATGCTAAGAAGTAGGTGTGCTGATACGAAAGTACTGGTTGTTGAAGTCCTATTTATTTCAAATTGTATTTCTGAAGTTTCTATGAGACGAAGTGAATATCAAGGACCGCGCTTCATTTTCAAATGTTTTTAGGATATTATTGATACAATTCTTCTTTGTTGGAAGTAGATTTTAAAAGGTTTCACCTGTATCTTACCTGGGGAAGCAGAACTTCCTGTCCCAATTTTTCTGATATTTGTTACTAATCACTTTGCTTGAAGTTCCTTTCTAAAACATAAGAAACGCTTCCTGCCACATTGTCATGGTTGAATTCTGATTTGTGTGAGTTGATTCAACTACAGTCAGTTTGTTCTATTAGAATACATTAACAGATAAACAAAACTGTTGTATAGACACTGTAAGACCTGCATAGAGATGTTGCAGCTTGTTTGGGCTGTGGAAGCCTTTTTTTTCTTTCTTTCTTTTTTTATTCCCCCTGCACATGGAGCCTCATAGAGTATAGCTCCAGTTGCCTGTCCTGGGACTCTGCTGCCTGCCACAATAAGAGTAACTGTTCCTGTTGTGCATGTCTGTGGGGCAGTCTATGATAAAAGAAAAATAGGGATATTTGGCAGTAATTACAAGGAACAAGAATGTGCAAACTAAGTCAGGGCTAAATATTTGTGTTCGTATCTTGACAATAGCAAGTACTGATGGATATAATTTTGGATGTAAAAACTAAATGTCTGTTTTGACAACTTAAACATGAGTAGACTTTTGGATCAAATAGTATTGGATCAAATACTATAAAAGACTAAAATTCTGATGAAAACAGTAATATGTGGACCAAAATAACCTGCAGACTGCTATCTTCTCCTAAGAGGCATCAAAAATATATTTTGATATTGTGCTTGCTATGTTGAAAAGTCATTGGAGTAGACTACTAAATTAAAATCTTTTCTTTCTCAGTCTTTCGTGGATTTGTGTTTGTGCTTTGACAGTTGCTGTAATTAGCATCAATGATGACAGTTATTTCCAAGAAACTGCGTCTTTCTCAGTTATTTTCTCAAGGCTTATAATCACCTTAAAACTTGCAATCCTATACTACATCATGTTCCTACGCCTCCTGGCTGCACGGTTGCTGCAGAAGTAAAAATGTAATGAGTATAATTAAAAGGTTTCCTTCTTTATAGGCATTATTAGGTATCATTAGTAAGCAGCTGAAGTCTGCTAGAATGTGCTGGATTTTGAACTAAGATGACTGTAGAAAACCATCATGTCTCACATATAGTACTTTTTACTATCCTAACCACATTAGTGTGTTAGTCTTCTATGCTTATTTTTAGAAAAACTAAGTGATTTTGGAAGATTTTTTGTTTTTCTAGTATTCTCAAGGTTTTTAAGAAACCCTCTGCTATAGCTCACCTTCGACTGGAATGCTTAGGATTTGTACATTTTTGACAGTTCATTTGTGTAGTTAGAATACTCTGGTGACAAATTCTGCATCCTGTTTACCAGTAAGAGTATGGTGAAACATGCAGCTTTAACATGAAATAGCCTAAAATTTCTTAGTTACTTTTGCTGTTTTGGCTATGTTTTTGAACACTTGTTTCCTGTGCTTTGCTCTTTGCCTTAAGTCTGTATAATACTTCTCCAGACCTCCCATGCTGTTAAATGTATGGGTAGAATGGTAGCTTCCAAGCAGGTCAGTCACCCCTAAAGAAAACACTTTCAGGTCACGTCATATAACCTGTATTATAAGAACAGCTGTGGGTAAGAGTCTAAAAATGAGTATCCTGATCTTTTTACATGGGTTTTTTTTATGTTTTGGTTTGGTTTGGTTTTTTAGATGAGAGACAGAGAGTTGTCGTCATAATATTAATGCATTGGTCTCTTTTTCTTTTCTTAATAGATAAAAAAGTATTTTGAACTTGAGCCACTTGCACGTGGAAAGCGCTGGATTCTTAAACCCTGCTCCTTGGATGATATGGAGGCAGTAAAAGACAGCTTCTCCCTTCTAATAAACTTGCTAGAAGAGAGAGACTTCGAACCTTCGAGAATGTGAAATGCAAGAGAGAAGAGTGGTTCTCCAGGCATCACTGTACCTGCACATTCTGCTCACAGCTTAGTTATGGTGTGGTATCAAGACTGTGCTGTGATACGTTGTGCATACACAGTTAGTGCAGAATGTCCTTTTGTTAAAATAAATATTCTGTGAATCAGGTACATAACTATTTCCAGTAAAATTGTCTGCACTACTGAAATAGGGAGTTCCTCTTTGTTTACCACTGTTTCTGCATACTGCATGTTGCTTTCTTGCATTGCAATCATCTTGACAGGAAATTTTACACGCACAAAAAATAACGTAGTCTGTGCAAGGGACATTCTACCTGCTCCCTGTTTTTTAAAAAATAACTAATGTCTTAAGGATTTGTGAGACTGATTTGTATTAGCTTGTTTACTGACCCTGCAGCATGGAAAGCACAGCCGCTGAGAACCTTAATAGGATACCTTAAAGGCAGGCAGTTTCGTGTTAGTACAAAGGCTAATCCTGAAGTTTCACTAAGTGAAAACACAGTTGACAAGTTAGTTGATTCCTCTTCTAAAGTCACAGCATAATCTTGTCAAAGGCAGAACTGTTATTTTGCTGGAAATTTCCTGAAAGGTAGATTAGCAAACAGATGTATGCGAATAAGAGTATTTGGGGAAAATAGGTGACATAAACAGCCAGACTAAGTAAGAATATTTTCAGAAACTATACAAAAGTTGGATAATGATTTTCATTGAAAGTCGTTTTCCATAAGAGAAGCTAATTCAGCTGTGGAGGCTTTATTACTAGTTAGAAATGTGACTGATTTTAAATAAGGATTGCTTCCTTTGTCACTGACTCATAGAGTACTACTGTTATCATAACATTGCCAAGGCATCTATATTGTAATTAAGGGCCTTCCAGTGTTTGTACTATAAGCTTCTCTTTTCAGGGGATTGTAACTTGTTCTTTCAAACTTCCTCTTGGCTAAATGTTACTTAGAAGAAAAAAGTATTCATTGTAAACAACATTTGCAATATATTTGGAAAAATCTCATTTGGTTCCAGTAACACAGTGCATATTTCCTCTTTCCAAGTTTTCCCCGTTGTAGGTTTGCAGTTTTTTGGCAGCCTTTTGTGGATTTTTTTAAAACCTTATAAACCGATTTTGTCCATTACAGAAACATGCCAGGTCACTGGTTCACCATTCAGTCCATCGCAGCAGGGTGTGTGCGGATCAGTTGCAGGACTGGCGCACTGGTGAACGTGGTGCCTTGCACCTTCAGCTACCCTCGTACATGAGTGGCCGCAAACACAAACTAGTGACATGTCAGTGGTTCCTCACCGATTCTGCATGTTTTCTGAGATTCGTAGCTCCTCTTTTCAGGGCTTTAAGCAACATATCTTTCCACTCTGAGCATTTATTTTTTTAACGTTGAAGTTTATTGTAGTTTCTCAGTAGTTTATTTGGGAATAAGAAAATAGCAAGGATCAGCTTTTAAAGGCTTATAAAAGCCATTCCTCTATTACTTGCAATTATACTCTTTGTTAAACAAAATGTTTGTAATAGTTTTTTGATTACTTTTCAATTTCCACAGATTTCTTGCACTGCTCCCTCAGAATTATTTCTGCCCAAATGTATGGCCTGATGGTCACTGTTTTAACTTGCTTCCTGTTATCATAAAGAAGCTGGGAGAAAATGGCAAACTCCTTGTTTAATTTTGTGATAGAATAGGCAGAAAGCCTGAAGGGCATCTCTTCTTGCTTTGATTTTCCTCTCCTGCCAGGTCAATCACCTCACTCCTAATACTTTTGGAACTACCCAAGAACTGGAATTGTTCATTTCAAAACACAGAGAGGAGCCCTGTGCTGGTTTGGTTCTCTCTGCTCAGTTTAGACAGGACCCAGCTGCCCATCAGTTTCTCTTGTGTGGGTTAAGGAGGCTCCTTTCCCTGGATTTAAAGAGGAACTAATCTAATTTACAGTTCCAGATTCTGTCTTAGCTGACGTGAGCGTAGAGACTACAGAGTACCTGGATTTCACCAAGGTCCCTGGATTTCTGTCCTGTTTAGGGATGGTGACAATTAAGAAGTGGTGGGGAGGAGTGAAAGAATTGCTTCCCAGAGGAGGCAGGCAGTTTGGGGAGGCAAAAAAAGGGATTCAGAGCTTTTACTGCTTTTTCATTGAGGAGTAGTTAGAAGGCGAGAGATAAATTTTTTCCCCTTTCTTCTCACTAAAGTTATGGACGAAAGGGTACAGCAAATACAAATAAGCCCAACTGTATTGCATTCTTAAAACCATACTTATTTGTACCATGAGTCTGGTCCAAAAACTTTAGAGTTTCCAAGTTGCATTTTGGTCACGATTTCCCAACTATGCACTGTTGGAAGGTGCTACATGACTAACGTGCAAGAGGCCCAAGTAGTCGCTGAGAATATGGCTGTGGCATATGCCAGTGGCCACTTAGACTAGGACCTTTTGATGCTTAATGCTTTTTCTTTAGGAAAATGCCAGCTGCCCAGGAGCAGTAATTTTTCTTTCAGAACTATTTTGAATTCGCTTTTTCTTACTAATACAGTGATCATTCCTCACCACAGGTTGAAACAATACCTCATAACTGCTTAAGGCTAAGACTAACGCTTAACTTTTACTTTGAATGTAGTTCTTCTGTGGTTTTGTGTTGTGGATGGACTTAATGGATGTGTACTCTTTTAATGTCTGTAAACATCTTCACCTTTTTATGGAGGAAGTAAAAGCGTTCATAGCAGCTCACGTCACACTTGCTTGTCTAAAGTGTTGTTGAATGTTCTGACTGTGGTAGAATACGTAAGTGCCATGCAGTTTGTATTCAGATGACCAATCTCAATTGTTTCTTTTCTTCTTTTTTTTTTTTTTTAATCTTTTGACGTGTTCATCGTTTAGGTGAAATAAACTTAGGCACTAGGCTCTACTTTCCATGCAAGTTCATTAAGGAGTGAACATTGTCTTTTTAAAAAAGATACTGTGCTTTAATGTTCTTTAGCCATCTGTTAAATTACTTTTTGTGTGTGTGTGTGTGTATGTGTACGTGCCCACATTGGGCTGCTTCTCAGACCTGTGGCTGTCTGCAGTGTCTCAGCCGTCAGAATGAAAACATTATCAATCAGTATCCAACAACAGCTGGTTTTGACAAGCTTTTGTCTGCTGCCTGATGCTTTACAACTTATCAGTAAGACCTCTTTGTCTACCCCCTCTGAGCTGGTAATCTTACTGCATCCATGTTGTATCCTGTACTTGTACCTCTAGCATTTGTATGGGAAAAAGTTAAATCTTAGTGGGTTTTGATATTCTTTCTTGCTGTATAATGCTCCATGTGTATCTTAGCTTGCCTCTTCAAATGCGCTATACAAAAATCTGTGATGTATTATTTCATTTAAATTCTTGCATTTCATTATATTTATAGAATTTGCAGATTTTTGTACTGTTATTAGTTAATACAGTTGCCTTTTTGTAATGGCAATTAATTTATATTACAAAAGTTTGTATCTTTACTGTAGTTGAAAGTATTAGTTAACTGCCATATTGTCTTGACTTTATACTAAAAATACAGTGTCTATACACAGAAGTTGACCCGCTCAAGTGGACAACTGCTGACGTGAGGAACTTGTACTGTTTGTGATTTATACATGATTTCCACTATCAAAGAAAAAAAAGAGGAAAAAAAAAGAAAATAAACACTGTGTAGGGTTGAGTTGCTAAGTTTGGATTTCTTGAGTAGTAGCAAGTTTGGGAGTATGGCGTATTACCTTGATTTGGAATCTTCAAAATAAATTATTTATTCCTAGATTAATATACATATTACTGTATAATCATTTCTAAATTATACGTAGTTACACATTTACACACACATATATATAAAATATAAAATTGCAAAAAATTGGCCGATTTATTTCCACAGCAAGTTGTTATTACTCTGGAAATATGTCTAAAAGATATTGCAGGTGTATTGGTGGAACAAAGATTGGAATAATCTTTATGCAGTTATTTCATAATGTTGAACTGATGGACATGTTTATATGACTACAATTTATTTTTAAATAAAATGGCATGGCAAAGTACATATACCAAAAAAAAGCTACAGAAATTGAGCAAAGGAAAATACTGCAGGAAAAAATAAAAGCTTGCTGAGACAACTCAATATTATCCTGTCAAACACTGTTTGAGTAGAAGAGACTCTCACAACAGTTCTAACAGTTGATGGAAGTACCGCACTGCTGAGCTGGACTGGAGTTGCTGATTCAGCTACTGAGGTATGCTTTTTTCATTTTATTATTATTAAATCTGCCTCTTACCAACACTAGGATGGAAATGAAAGATCTGTAAACTCAGAATATTTTTTTAGTTCTTCTGTTTCATATAGGAACTGAAAATCTCTTAATCGTGCCTCGACTCTTTTAAGAATTTTCATTAGCTCATTAGCCCTTTGACCTAATAGTTCAAACAAATAAAAACATCTGTTTGTCTCAGCTGTAGGGTTAGTCATCCAGGACCTAGGTTAACACGAGGATGAGAGAGAGTCTTATGTCCTACGTAAGAACAAAACCCATATATTTTTCAGTATCTGCAGTTGAAAAGGACCCCTGAAATCAAGTAGGGCTGGTGAACTCTGTTAGGTGAAAAGCCTGAAAAAGATCATTACCCTTCTCAATCCTCAGCCCTCATGGGTGAACTGACTAACTTCTTTGTGTACGTTGGACTGAACATCAGGTCTAATTTAACTAGTTCTGAGACATTTACACATAGTGCTCGCTGCTTATAATGTATTTTAGCTTTTATCACAGCGATATTTAGAGAAGCCAAAGTATGCTGTATATATTGCTTGTTCATTCATCAGATTTCATAGGAAAATGTAGTATGTGGTATTCTGGTGGGTTTTGATGGAATATATTCAAGACAGCCTTGTTTGGGGAGTGTATGTTTGTGCATCAAGCATGTTCAGCACTTCTATTTATGATGTCTTAATTATGCCTTAATTTTTTAGTCACTTAAACTGGCTAG